GGCGGAGCGGGGCACGGCCGGGGCGGAGCGGGGCCAGGGCAGCCCGGAGCGAGCCCGGGGGTACCCGGGGGTACGAGCATCCCGAGCGGACCGGCCCGGGGGAGCTGCCATCAGCCCCCCGGGGGAAGGGGCCCGGCGCCGGGGGGGGAAGGCAGCGGAGCGTCAGTCCCGGTGCTGCGGGGCCGGTGCGCGGGGTTAGGGCTCGGTGCGGGAAGAGACGTTTCCCTCTAGCGAGAGGCTGTTGGCAGTACCCTTGGGAAGGGTCAGGATCCCGGGAGCAGGGGTAGTGCGGGGACAGCAGGAGCGGGGCAGGTGCAGCTGAACCTCAGCGGCGCAGCAGAAGCCTCAGGGACAAACCAGGGAAGATACTTTTCTCCTTAAGACTGAGACAAAACTTCGGAATTGCTAAAAACTTAACTTTTTATTCCCTCCAGCAAGGGAATGTGCTTGAAGGTACAAGGCAAGGATGTGGTTGAAGTGCAGGCTTCTTACCCACCCAGGCAGAGGGAAGAACATAAATGCTGCAGGTTCAGACAGAGACAGGACACAGGTATTTGGGGCACACTTTATTCTGAAGTCTGCTTGTCATCATTCCAGCCTTAGCCCAGGGACTGGGCCAGGAAACAAATCACCAAAATAAGTTACATTAGAAACTGTTAAAGCATTTATTTTTTACTGGGAAAATAACCAGCACCTACCTCCCCTGCTTTAATAACAGGATATCCCACCAGCATGGCAGGGTGACTCCTGGCTGCCTCCTTTGCCAGCTTCTTAATGCTTCAAAAGGTTTCATGCATGGAGTTACAGAAGATCCCTGAAGTTATTTATGTGACTAGGAAAGAGATTCCCACTGCAAATCAGCATGCTGAAAAGAAAACCCCACCTTGCTAAATGCTCCTCTCTAAAAGAAAGTGTTTGGCTGGTCCCTAAAGAGAAGTCTCTTGTTGAGGAGCAGCCTCTTGCCCCCAGCTGTTCCCCAGTCTGCTCTGGAAGCACAAAGGGCAGGAAGGAAGTGGTCTTAGTCACAATTTTTAAACTTGTAGAAGGAGGGAAACAGTATCAAAGATCAAACATATCATCCTCTCAAGAACCCTGCAGCTTGGGTGAATTAAAAACAAAGCCAATATTAAAAATAAGTTGAGACCTTTTCTCTCTCACAACTTGTCTCTGCCATTCATGCATACTGACTTAGAAAGCTGAAGTGCAGGTCCCCATCTTGCCTTTCAGGGCAGCAGCATGAGTTAAAAAATAGGAAATCAAGATACAGAATCACCCCAGCTTGGTTATCAAGTCTCCTTGCAAAGGAAGCTCAGCCTGGGACAGGGGGAGAGCAGGGGGCACTCTTGGTGCAATTAGCAGCTGGACACAATTAAAAGATGAAGCTCTGTTCTAGCCAGGGCCAGAAGAGCTGGAGTTGTTCAGAGCTCTTCCTCTGGTATGGTCGTTGTTATCTCCTCTGCAGCCAGTGCCACCTCTGTGACTTCCTCTGCCTTCTCCTGCAGCTTCTCTAGCACTTCAAACCATTCCTCTAGGATTCTTTTTGCTGCCTTTGGTTTTTTGGGTGTCTCAGCCACCTCCTTTGGTGATGTAGCCTTTTCCAACATGGCTGATTTTGTATCAGTCACCCTTTCTTTCTTCTTCTCCTTTCTGCCACCCTGTGACACTTCAGCCATTGCCCTGAAGGGACCCACCAGCCAGTCTGGAGGGGTGTTCTGAGTTACATACTCAAACAGGTCATCTAGGCACCTCCAGGCTTCTGCCACACAGTCCTGGCTCTGGGTCAGGGTGGTGCTGGAGAGGTCCTGGAAAGACATAGCATTGGAAAAAGACCTATGGAGCTTATGAATACTTCGAGTGGCCTGATATACAGCTTCTTGGATGTGGCTGGGGAGGCCTTGGGTGCTGGCCTTCAGGTTCTCATAGACAGGCTGTAGCTGCCGGGTGATGATGCGCAGCATAGCTAGAGCCCGTGGCTCTACCTGCTGGGAAAGAGACAGAGCTCAGTTACCAGAGCAGATGAGCTGGGCACCAGCCACCAGAGGCCTGACTGAATACACCCTTCTAGGGGTACCTCTACTTCGGAGGCAGTTTTGACTTGGTTTCCTTTGGGTTGGGTCAGGCTCCAGTCCACCCACAGCCGATGCAGCTTCTCCTGCCCATCCAGAAGCTTCTCGCCAACCTCTTGTTTCACAGATTCAATCTGATGGGAAAAATGACAGGGAGAGCTTGTACTGCAAGCACACACACTCAGGGAAGCCCAGGGAGGGATCCAAGGTGCCAGGCAGCTGGTGCAGGATGGAGAAAGAGCTTGCATCTGGATAGTAGGGCAGGAAGGTGACAGGCAGGAGGAAAAAGCAGAAAGCATGTTTGTACCAGTTCTATGGCCAGCTGGAGTCGTGAGAGAGTGTCCTGGGTGCTTTTCCTGAGGCGCTGCAGTTTGCAGAGGGAGTGCTGGAGGGCTCGGCGCCGCGCTTGGCCAGAGAGGGAGCCCAAGCGCACGAAGTAGCTCTTCTGCTGCTTCTGCTCCTCCACAGAAGCCATGCCAGGTCCCTCCACAGCAGTGGCCAGTTTACCTGGAGGAGACAAGAACAGAGATGCAGCTGTGCTGCACTCCCCAGCTGGGAGTGGGGGGAAGAGGGAAGGTCACCCATTGAAAGACACGAAGGCTGGAGGTTGCTGGGTAAGCAGGAGAGGTTTGAAGTTGCTCAGAGGTGGAAGGGAGGCTGGTCCCTGCTCAGGTGTGTTCTTCAGATAAACAGACTTGACAGGCTGATCATGCACCCCTGTGTTTATTTGCCTTGAGGCTGATGGGCAAGTGCTTAAACTCTGTCCCATACCATGTGGCCAGTCAGTGTTGACAAAGAGCCATCTTGGTGACACATCAGAGCTACCTGTCTACTTCAGAAGAGGAGTCTTGCAGTGTCAGGTGCTCTCTGGTCATGTGGGAAAGGAGCTGCATTCACAAGCGCCAGCTAAGCACTTTCTCACCTAGTTCCTCCTCTGCCATGGGCAGGTAATGATCCACCAGATCTTCTGACATTCCCAGGACAGATTCTGCTCCACCTGCCACTGCTTGGCTCACTGCTTTGGCTTTGCTGATGCTGTTGGTCACCATTGAATTAGTCTTCTCCACACCCTCCTGGATAGCCTCCTTGCTCTGCTCCAAGGCTGTGTTTATTTTGCTGGTTATGGTGCCATAGGCAGCATCCAGAGCTGTGTTGACTGTAGAAGTGACCACTGATTTGGTCTTCTCAACACTATCCTGAACAGCCCCTTTGGTTAGGTCCACTGCCTCAGTCACCTTGTTAGTCACCAGGTCCTTGGCACCCTGGGCAGCCTCCACTGCATTGACAATAGTAGAAACAACTGTAGACTTGGTCAGCTCAACACTGTCCTCCACCATGTGTTTAGTCAGGTCCACTGCCTCAGTCACCTTGTTAGTCACCAGGTCCTTGGCACCCTGGGCAGCCTCCACTGCATTGACAATAGTAGAAACAACTGTAGACTTGGTCAGCTCAACACTGTCCTCCACCATGTGTTTAGTCAGGTCCACTGCCTCAGTCACCTTGTTAGTCACCAGGTCCTTGGCACCCTGGGCAGCCTCCACTGCATTGACAATAGTAGAAACAACTGTAGACTTGGTCAGCTCAACACTGTCCTCCACCATGTGTTTAGTCAGGTCCACTGCCTCAGTCACCTTGTTAGTCACCAGGTCCTTGGCACCCTGGGCAGCCTCCACTGCATTGACAATAGTAGAAACAACTGTAGACTTGGTCAGCTCAACACTGTCCTCCACCATGTGTTTAGTCAGGTCCACTGCCTCAGTCACCTTGTTAGTCACCAGGTCCTTGGCACCCTGGGCAGCCTCCACAGCACTATTAACAGTGGAGGTAACCACTGACTTAGTCAACTTGACACTGTCCCCAACAACATTTTTGGTGAGGCCCACAGCTTCAGTCACTTTGTCAGCCATTGCTTCTTTTGCCTCACAGGCAGCATCCATAGCAGACATCACTTTGGTGGAAACCAGCTGCTTGGTGTCTGAGAGGACCTACAACAGGGACAGGCAGAGAGAGAGATTTTATTTTTTCTGAAACAGGTTTTCCCTCCCTGAAGTAGCTTTTCTATCTGACTAGGTTGTGTTTGCAGTCTTGTGGGAGAGCTGGAGAAGCCAGTACACCTCTCTTTACAGGGACATGTTGATTTCCACATGCTGAAGGCCCATCTCCAGCTTCCATCAGTGTCTCCTCTAGTCCATTCCAAGGACTGACCTGACAAAGCAATGCTCCTGAAGTTTATTTCCCTTTACTCTTCTGTACCTACAACCATCCCATCAAGCAAGAGATCAAGCCATGGCTTCTCCAGGAAAAGCCTTTACCTTTTCTGCTGGTTGTTGAAGAAAAGACAAGTTCTCCTCCAGTTGATCCAGCCCTTTGCAGGCATATTCATTTACAAGTGCAACTATAAAAGACAAGTACCAGTTTATTATTCTGTTTGGAGAGGGGTTTTTTGACCCTACAATGGCCAATTCAGGACAAACTCATGAAGGAAAGCCTACAGGAAAAAAAATCCCTATTCTGGGGTGGGGTGTGTGGTGTTCTGTTAAATCAGGAACAAACCCTCCAATCTGGCAGGTTCCATAGTTTCCATTTTGCCTTCCCAGCTCCCACCTGGTGGCAGCACATCGCTCCAACTGGAGCATTATACTTGGCCCTGTTGGGTGGGACAGTGAAAGAGTTGGGAAGTGTTGGGAGGAGGCAGAGTGAGATATATCCAAGATGGACACTGCTGCTACCTTTTGAGATGCTCATAACCTGGAGTGAGAGAGACACAGCAGGGAGGTTTTGCTTAATGGCTCAAAGAAAGCAGAAGACAGACCAGACTTCGATTCTGCTTGGGACAGCTTCATGTTCATGAAATTCAGGGGGCTCACTGGGCAGCTGGGAGCATCTAAGCAGAAGACTCAGAGCTACAATGAACTAGAACAATGTGCTGCAGGGGATGGAGATCACCCAACAGGCACAGGAAACCCCCCACCCCACCTGTTCCTCCATGTAGGAAAGGCCCCTCCAGCCTCTTCACTTACTTTGTGGCTCAAGTTGGTTCAGGATGGGCTGTGCCCCACCAACCACACTGCCAACTGCCACAGCAGCCACAGTCTCAGCCACGTTGCAGACACCACTGAGGCAAGGATGGGTCTCCTTGGTGTAGTTGTAGGCAGATGAAACCAGGTTGAAAGCAGAGTTTAGCAAGGGTAAGCTGGTGACCCGGTCAACAGCACTCTGAAACTCAAGAGAAATGTGACATTGGAGACCCAGTATGGTCTGGTGAGTCAGTACAAGCTGTGAGTGCATCCAGAAAGGTCCTAAGGGGACACCCAGTCCATCTCCTCATCCTTAAACCTAGAGTTGATGGGGGTCATCTGAAGACTACTAGCAAGTCAGCAACAACCAGGGTTAAAAGTCTGAGCTCTGGGCTCCTGAATCCCAAGCCACACTGGGTTTCAGCACGAAGCCCAGATGGGAGGTTGGACCTGGAACAGCTCATGTTTCAGAATCACTGGCATTACTTGAGCCAGCCCTGAAGTCTTCCCTTGAGCAAAAAGAGTTTGAGTTTAGATTTATCCACAACTTCATACAGTGAATCTTCCTGGTACCCCCAGCTTGGTTCTATGCTGCAGACCCAGGTGTTACCAACCAGTGTGTCTGTGAGCAGGTAGTTTAATGGTTGCATGGTAAAGTACCAGCTGCCCTGGCACCTACCGCTTGCTGCTGCTCCTCAGCCTTCAGCAGGTTTTTCTTTGTGGTCTTTTCTGATGCCATCCTGGATTCAGTTGCAGCTGAAAGGAAAAACAAAGAGTGCAACAGCATGAGTACAACTCAGTTCCCTCCAGTGAACGAAAGTCTTAGCAAAACTGGTGAAGAGCAGAGGGCAAAGTTGGGATCTCCCAGTCAGCATGTCCGAGGAACACCAGGGTGGCATCACTAGTCTTTCTTGCAAGGATGTGAAGATACTTGAGAGGTTCCATGATTTAGGATGTACAAATATTTATGTAGGACAAGGACTGTACCCAGGCACCTCCCTTAATTCCCAAACAGCCTTAGATAAAATAACCATCCTACTTATTTTACTGCTGATAACATTTGATAGGCTTGAAAGTTGCAAGTTGGAAGGGGGTGAGAACCTTCTTCTCTCTCATGCATTTTCTCTGCTAGAGAACACTTCTGGTTCAGCTTCCCACTGCACAGGCTCTTTGCTGGCCAAGGACTGGAACACTTGAAGGAAAGATGCACCCTGTGGAGCTGGGGCTGATGGTGGGAATCACTGAATGTTTTCTTGATTGATCATGACAAATTACTGTCCTAACAAGCCCTGCTGCAATGAAGCTGCAGCAGGGCTTGTTAGAATTACTTATGCAGCAGTATAATTAGCTTTTTAGTTTTAATTTTCAAAATGTGACAAGCTGAAACTGTTGAATAATGGAGTTTAAAACCAGAAATATTGATTTGGAAAAAAAAAAAAAAATGAACTTGCTTAATACCCTTTAAGGGGCCAAAGCCCTGAAATTTCCACTACTTTGTCTCAAGTGCAGATGGTTCTTGCAGTGGTTTAATATAATTTCCATTTGGGGGACAAAAAAGGGAAAAGCCAGACAGGATTTCAGCTCCCCTCCAGAAAGGTGTCAGGGCCAGAGACTGAACAGAAGTGCTGAAACAGGAATAGGTGTATTTTACTTTCTTAAAAAGAGTTCAGTGTTCATAGCCCCTTCCCTCTGAAGTATCTCTGCTGAGGGACATGGAGGTGAGTTATTTTTGAGTCATCCCACTAGGCCCTTGTTCATAGGAAGGAACTTTTACCAGCTTCTCCAGTGCCATCAACTCCAGTGACACTGGCAGCCTCACTGCTCTGGGAAGGGTGTGAAAGTTCTTCGACAGGGAGCCAGGTTTCATTGCTGTAGTTGGTTTGGCTCCCATCCTAGTGACCAGCTGGGCAGGAAATCTCTCCTCACTTCCTGTGAAACCAGCTCTCAGAAGTGTTCTCATTACATAGTGGGATTAAGGAAGTATAAAAATTGCACAATATCTTGAATGTGTGTTGACCTCCCCAGGAGAGACCTAGATTGATATGTGGACACTCCAGGATCATGTCACAAATCCAGGATGACTTCTCATCCTTAGTCAAGCACAGGAGGGATTTCAGCACTTTTGTTCTTTAGTGCAGTGTCTGCTTTTCATAGAATCATAGAATGGTTTGGGTTGGAAGGAAACTTTAAGATCATCTCGATCCAATCCCCCTGCATGGGCAGGGACACCTCCCACCAGCCCAGGTTGCTCCAAGCCCCATCCAACCTGCCCTTCAACACTGCCAGGGATGGGGCAGCCACAGCTTCCCTGGGCAACCTGGGCCAGGCTCTCACCACCCTCACAGCAAAGAATTTTCTCCTCATGTCTCACCTCAATCTCCCCTCTCCCAGTTTTCATCCATCCTCCCTTGTCCTCTCCCTCCCTGCCCTTGTCCCAAGTCCCTCCCCAGCTTTCCTGGAGCCCCTTCAGGCACTGGAAGCTGCTCTAAGGTCTCCCTGGAGCCTTCTCTTCTCCAGGCTTAACACCCCAACTCTCCCAGCCTGTATTCATTCCCTTTTTCTCCCTTGCCAGTTAATTCCTATTCTTAGAATTGCTGTGGCATTTTCCCAATGGAAACCCCTCAAACCAAAATTCCTCACAAACCAGATTCCCAAGCCAAGCACTGCTCCAGGCTCATTGGCAGACTCCACCCAAAAAAACCCCAACTTGCCCTCTCATTTGTGACAGAGACTATTGTCTTGTTTCTTCTGTTCTTTGCCTTGTGTAAGGTTTTTATTTTGCTGTGGAAACAGGAACAGAGAACTGGGGAAGCAGCAGTGAAACAAGCAGTTGTTATCCCTGGGCTGAGGATGGGGAGACATCTCAGGAGGTAACTCGGCAGGAAAATATGTAAAACTTTGCTGTGTTTATGCTGTAATTAGTGAGCATCTTGATGAGATCCAAGCAAGGCAGTGAAGTGCTACATGTCTGCAGCAAAACGTGTCACAGAAGTTGGGATCTCCAGCCTCTCAAGTGAGAAGCCCAGAGCCAGGCTCTTCTGCACATTCCCACTAACCACCCTGCCCAGGAGGTGCTTCATTTAACCCTCCAGAACCAAAAATACAGCTTCAACTTGATCAGTCTGGGAGAACTTCTAGAAAACTGCCCCAAACAAAAGCAGGGCTTGAAAAAAAGTCTCAGTCCCAAAGTCCACATGGTTTCTCAGTCAGTAGTCATTCCATTTCCTCTGCTTTAAGGCAAGTTTGTTGGTGTTTTGGAAGCCAAGGAGTCAGAACCATCAGTCCTGTCACAGGGCAAAGCACAACACCATTGCAAACAACCCCTTTGATCTTTTATTTTACTTCTAGATGGGTGGGCAAAAACCTCAGGCTGCAAAAGTATCTTCCTGGCCTTGTGGTCAGGGTGAGCACACAGACACTGCAGGAAAAGAGGAAGGTTTCCAGTTGGTAGCAAAAGTGAGGAGCAAGGCCTTGGCTGATGGTAAAAGTGGTGTGAGGTTAGAATCAAGCTCTGAAGTACTAGGAGTGCATCTTAATTATGGATGCAAATGTGTCAGTGACAATCCTTGCAGCAGAGTCATGTCAGAACATGGTTTGCCCTCCTCTGTGGAGGAGTCAGGCTGTGTTGCAATGCCAGTGGTGTGGGCACATCTTCAGGAGCCCACAGGTTGTTTTTATTTTCTCTTTCCATGAGCAGATGTTGTATGACTTCAGAGGTTGCAGGAAAGCACAGTGCTTGGCAACTCTGGGGCAGCTGTGTCAGGATCCTTTGGAGAAAGGCACAGCTTCAAGCTGGGGTAGTTGCAAGTGAGAGCCCCATGCGTGGCAGAAAAGCAGAACCAGCCCCAGGGTTTGCTTTGGTCTCAGTTTGCTTCATACAAAAATGATCATCAGATGATTTCACACCATTGCTATGTCACAAATACGAGGTCACTGCTGGAGAAAGTTCTTGAAGCAGGTAGTTTCAGCAAGATGAAACTTTTCAGTGCACATTTCTAGCATGTCACAGTAGCTGAACTTCCTTGCCCAAGATGGCACCAAATCTGAACTCTGAATCAGAAGGGCAACGACATCACCGCTGCCAAACTGCTCCCTTTTCCCTGCCTTCCTGTCACACCAGGGCAACACGCTGGCCTGGAAGAAGAGGGTTGCTCTCCTGCTGGGGGCAGCACCTCCCTGGGTTTCTGCCACCCTGACAGTGACCAGCACACACCAAGCTAATTCTTGAACTTGTGTAAGGTTTTAATTTTCCTGTGGAAAGAAGCTCTGCCCCATGAAGACTGTTTGCTGTTACCTTGTCCTGCACAACGGCAGAATCTTGCTGTTCAATAAGCTCTTCTCCCTTCCAAATGTGTTTTACCTTGGGGGGACAGGCTGAGCCACCTCTAGCCTGCCTGGTTCAGTAGCTGAATTGGCACTTCTTTATTCTCCATTTAGGAAAACAAAGCTCAGTTTAGTGCTTTAGGTCCGAGCAGGGAGAGCTAATCAGGGCAGAGGTATTAATTTGTGGCTAAAGAACTTAGATTCCCTTCAAGATTTGCCACTGATACCCCAGTGACCATAATGTGGCCAGCAGAACTGTCTGCTCCCCTGGGAATGCTCTGCTGCAGCCAAGGGAGCTGTTGGCAAAATACTCCAAGGGCAGAATTAGTTTTAGGAGTATCAGATGATTTTTCAGCCTTGACCTTGGGACATTGATTTCAGAATTGCTGGCAGAGGTGCCCACCTAACCTTTCTAGAAAAGCCATTTGGGAGCCTCAAAGATTAAAGCCACTTTGGCAGGCAGAGGCAGGGTTTTCCCACACACACACTTCCAATGGAAATCCAGCACCATGGAAATCCAGCACCATAGCCAGTGGCCATTATTGTGAGTAACTCTTTGGGACAGAGGGTAAGCTATCCAAGCTACCAGAATTTTGAGATATTTTAGGGAAGAGGAGAGGGAGTTGAGTTAAAAGAGCTTCTTGGCTTTCTAGTACCTCCCATTTACCAGTTTCTCCAGAGGACACACCTCTCTGTCATAAGCTCTAACTTGCTTTAGTCTTTAATACACTCTTTCATCTGGAAGTTTCAGCAGAACCAGCTGTAGGGATTGAAGTCCTCCACAGCTGTACCAGTTCCAGGTAGTCACAACCACATTTGAGAGCCCTGTTAGTCTTAAGAAACACTGAGCTTGTTTGCCAAGTGCTCCCTCCAGCAAGCTCAGAGCCATGCATGGCTGCAGCCTCCACCTGCAGACAGAGCTCTTGAGCAAGAGAGAAGTTACCTGGTCACCCCCTTTGTTAGCACCATTACTGTGCCTACACTAAACGATCATGTGAAATAGCTACAGGCAGGTCTGGCAGCACAGTCAACAGGAAGGGAATGCCCAGCTGATCCCTCTGCCTCCCCAGGCATGTACCACTTCCCAGCATCAACACAAGTCAGCAAGGATGTCAGGGGGCACATCACGAGCTGTCCCCACAGGGATGCCCCAGGGGCACATCACGAGCTGCCCCCACAGGGATGCCCCATCATGAGCTGTCCCTGCTTGGCAGAGGAAGAGCCACCTCCCCTCACCCAGCTTTCATCTTCACCAGGTGATAAGCAGAACACAACTTTCAGACCAACCCAAAGCTCCTCAATCCCAGATGAGGCCCGTAGTGTTACCAAGAAGCTGTCTCAAGGCTAGGAAGAAACCTTCAGGGAGGGATTTAAAGCCTTCCAGCTCTTCCTGAAGGCACAGCAGGTGCAGCATGA